TGAACTCACCAACTAATACATCAGCTCCCAAATTTTGTTTCTTCATCGAGCCATCTGCTTCGAAAAATATACACTGAGTTGACTCAGCCCTATTGATGCATTGTTGGAGGAATCTGATAAGCGACCGGCAGAACATAAGGAGCATGGCCAGGAGGAAGCATAACTGGAGTTCCAACAGCAGAAACAATGTGGCCTGGAACTGGATGCCCCACAGGCGCTCCATATATTCCCATGGCAGCTACATTGGGTTGTAATGGAGGCGGATTAATGAAGGATCCTACAGGTGGTGCACAATTCACCATTCCCTGACCAGTTATAGGCCCCTGGGAAGAAGTTTGTACATCTCCATTATTCACATTGGTGATGTCGTGGATGCTCGACCGACGCCGATCTCGATTGATCGAATTGAGGCGAATGAAGTATTTTTGTGCGTGGCTTGCGACCTGTGTGGGTGTCCTCGACACGACGAAGTTTCTCGATATGCTCCTCCAGTCGCCTTTTCCAAACTTCTCGAGGCCGAGTAGAAACAACCTGTTGACAAGAGGTGCCTGCTTCATTAAGAATTATATGGGTGGCTTTTGTTTGGGCTTTATAAGAAAAATCAAATGGAAGATTTACATACATACCACTAAATACTTGTATATTTACATATCTCACTTCTAAACTTTCATATTTACACACATAACACTCTGGTGTTTTAAATCTTTGCATGGAAAGGTCTATTTAACTTTTAAAAAGTGCAAATAGTATTACTTTTTATTTGTTATTAAGAATTTGAGTGCAATGAGTGTAATATGCCAGTTTAGCCGTGAAATATGACAGTATAGGTGTGAGATATGTAAATGCATTAGAACATTGTGATATGTATGCACATGCCCTAAATTGAAGTGATAAAAAATGAAGACTAATTACTACTTGAACATAAAACTATGTCGAGAATGTTTAGACCTCTTGAGTTGTGGAGACTGTCACAGAGTAATCGGAAGGTATCTAATGTATGTGGGTAGTTTTATTAAGCTTGTTTCAGAGATTATATAGTATTTTCGGCTGTAACAGTTTTCTCTTTATAATGAAAGGGCCGTTTTCTTTAGGTAGCATTAGAGGATTTAAGGCTGTACTTCTCTACAATCAAGTCAAAAAAAATTTATAATAATAAAAAAAAAAAGTGCAGCAGTAGCAATGAGACATAATCATCACTATAAAATACTTTTTTGTTGTTTTTTATTCATTTACTTTTTTTTGTTTTTTGAAAGATTTACATGCATCCCACTCATTTCCTATGAATCAACTCATCTAGCAGCTAATTTTCGATTTTTAAATACATGCCACCCTACATAAGCATAAGCATGAAAAGGTGTATTTCAATTTTTAAAAGTTAAAATGATAATATTTTTGATGCGATGTGACCTGTTCGGAGAGTATAAATGTATAAAAGAAAACAGTGTGTTAGACATGTAAATGCACAGGAATTAGGAAGAATGTGCGTGAGTGCACCTTATATTTTATTTTTGCTTTCTGTTTTTTTCTAGCACTTGATGACTGAATTATATTTCACCAATTCTCATCAAAAACAGCATTTCTATGTTCCTAATTCTACTTCATGTCAGGATGACAAGAAAGTCTAACTACTTTCCAGGATGACAAGAAAAGAAAAGAACAGTGAAAAAGTGTTGGAAGTACTGTGCTTTTTAAAAGCATAACTGTGATGAAACAGGCACTCTACAATTAAACATTTGAAATCAAGTTGCGAAATTTACAAACATAACCACACAATTCTAGTGTATTTACATAAACAACACCCAAAAGATTTGATATTTACGCTTATAAAACATAGTGTCATGAACCTATGCATGAAAAAGGTGTATTTCACCTTTAAGAAAGTGTGATGGTGATATTTTTGATATGATGGTAAATATTTGAGCATGCATGTAAATGTGAATGTTTAGGTGCTACATATGTTAATACATAAGAATTGAATGTTATGTACGTAAATGCCCCAATCTAGTTTCATCTGCAAAAAAAGTTATATACTTTTCAATCTTCACTGATT